TCATACAGTGTATGTATCCTTTTCCACATCTGCTTGCATTCTTGAAACTGATCCAATAGAAATTTCTCTAACAATAACTGAAGCCGAAGTTGAACCTAGCTTACCTCGTAAAGTGTCCTCATCAAAATCTGGTGCATTTTCTTTGTCAGGTAAGTCTTCATTTTCACATGGAACTTTAACTGATCTTCTACCTGTAGCCATAGCAACTGTAAGAAGACTGATGCTTCTTAAAAAGTTGTTCTTTTAGGTCATCCTGGCCTGAAAAAAAGGTGATTGAAAATGGTTGTAAACTTCAGTTCAACATATTACCCAGTAGCAAAATAAATATTACTTCCCTTCTGAGAATGGGAGGGATTCATAGACACAAAACCAGAGGCCAGTTAAGAGCCAATGTCAACATGCATCAGACAAACAGCGGCAAGTCGCCCAAATTCGTTTTCTCTCCTAATTTCATATTTTGTAGCCCAATATGTCCTAACAATTGTGGTGTAGGTTTTTTGTGAAAATATATTTTAGTTTTTGAGAAATGACTTTTTTTCGTTCGACCGCTCAAATATGCAAATTTTCACTCTGAATATTACCCGAGTTGTGTGACCTCATGTAACGAATTTACTTGACCTCCGGTATTTCTGTTGACACAATCCTTTGTTTCATCATCTAAACTTAATCCCCTGACATTATTGAGGCTGGCACAAAAATATTTATTTTTTGGTGAATATTTTTGTCCGACATATTTTTTCTATGTCGAAAAGTAGCATCAAAACAAAGACAGTTTTAACAATGACCGATATGACAGAATCTAATGAGCTTCTAGCTTTTAAAAGACAAAAGGATGGTTATAAAGTAACTGTAAAAATTTTCTTGTGTAATTGTGTTGTTCTATCGTGAGACGAACTCAAAGTCCGGCAAAATTTACTTGCCAGCGACTATGAAATCAGGGTCGGCCAGGGTCTTTGTGTATTCGGTATTCAGGGGCGTTTTAAATCGGGTATACGGTATATTGCAG